CTATCTGCGTGTCCAAGAGCAGATAAATTGCCATGTGGTGATTTGTTTCCACCATTGAATAGTGAGCTCCTTAAAGAAGGAAGGAAGGAAGGAAGGAAAAGGAAAGGGGGGCAGTCTAAATCTACTAATATTAACTTTAAAAATAAAGTTGAGAGGAAAGTTACTTCAGGGAGCAAACGTGAACGCACTTATGAATCAGATGTTTGTGTTCTTATTAGTGAAAAAGTAACATGCCAAAGCACTGGCAGAAGAAAATGGAAACTGAACCAATAATTGCTTTCAGATTCCTGCTTGTAACCAAACACAATGAAGTCGTTTATTCTGACCCCTTGTCTCTTCTTAAAGCTTTGTCACATACTTAGAAGTGTGTCTAGAAGAGGCTGTGGGTGTGTCACATTCTTTTGGAAAACCCCATGGGCTGGCAGGTGATGCTCCCAGTTTCTCCCCGTGTGCAGCATCCAGGGGCCCAGGAGACGGGAAGCTCTGCTCTTTGGCCAGAGTCCTCAATCCCAATCGAGGCGAAAGCAGGAGTCTGAGCAGGTGACTTACTGTATGGCTGAGAGACGAGGTGAGGGGGCTGGACAGGAACCACCTGCGTGGCCGGGCCCAAGGCCGATGGCTCGTCGGCAGCCATGCCCGACTGCTGGAAAGCCAAATCGATCTCTTCATCCGTCAGCCCTGGGAGAGGAGAGCACATAACGGCGGGTGAGTACCTTTTGCCACTGTCCGCGGCGGCTAGGAAATCTCCATCGAGAAAAGACCCCCGGAGCCACAGAACGCCTAGCATCCTGGAACTCTGCCTCCCCGATTTCGGATTCTCGGGAACCTCTCTCAGTTGCAATTTAACCTTAAGCGACAGAATATTAGCCTCAACACTGCTTCCAAATGTGGCTCATTCAATTTCCTTAATTTATCCTTGAGTTTATTGCTGCTTTTGAAGTCGCTCCGTACTGCAATTCTCCATTCTTCCCCCGAAAACAGATACCATCAACTGCAAATGTGGCTCATTTTAATCTGTAATGGTGTTAAAAAAAGAAGGGAAAAAACTAACAATAATGCATGAAAACAGACAGGGAAACAAAAAACTAATTATTGGGTGAGACGACTAATTAGTCTAGATCGTTTCCGAAGACGGGAATAATTTGCTTTATTTTATGACAAATGCAGAAATAAAAAGAAAAATCAGGACTGACTGTGATTAGTATGAATGGGATATAGAATGTAAAGAAGAAAATAAAACAAGAAAACAGATCAAAACAAGGCCAGGCCCAAACTTTCAGATGATTATTACTCTAGCCTATCATAGGCTGCCTATATCGCCTTTGGCTAGTTTTTCTTTCCTCTCCCTTTTTTTTTAAATCTTCCCGACACTTTAAACCATACTGCACATGGGACATCAGGAAATAGCAGGGCGCCATCTGCAGTGGCTACAACATGTGGAGAGGATTTGCCCACGGAGGAATGAAAGGCAACTGAAAATCCCATGAAGACATTTCCGGTGGGCACACAGCTGGAATACTTTCATCGAGTCTGAGGCAGCCGGGGGACGCTGGCTCTGTGGGGAGCAGACAGGGCACCGACCAACCCAAAGAACAGGAACGCAGTGTGGCACCCAGGTGTGAGCAGAACCTGCCTGCTGAGGCGGCTCGGGAAGCACTGCGGTGTGCTCTAGCCCCGAGGGTGGGAAAGGCAGCTGGGAGGTCACTGCCAGTCCACGAAAGACTGAAAGATGGCTCCGGCCAGCCCTGCTGTTCCGGGAATCCCAACGCCCAGTCCAGCCGCAATATGCAGCTTTTAAACCAGGGCCGAGAGCTTTTCCCCAGCTGGCCGGGTCTCCATTAGAGGCCCGCAGCATGGCGCATCTGCCCCTGGGGGTGGATGAAGCACCGGGAGGTTCTGAGGAGCAGCATCTTCCAGAGCCTGGTGCCTTTCTCGCTCTGGGCCGAGGGGCTGATGGACACAGCGCATTCACGCCCCACAGCAGAGCGCTGCGGGGCAGCACATCGCGTGGGAGCTGGCTGCAGCCGTCCCTCCAATATTCCATGCCCCACCGCAAGTGGTCAGGGGAGATCGCCTAGACGGTCCCGAACGGCCCCGAACCCCTTCCTCCTCTCCGCACTGGGCAGCTGAGATCAGGCCCCATTTAACAGTGCAGCCCCTCACCATTCCCGCCCTGCACGCAGTGCAGCTGGCCACTCACGCGGGCCAGGCCACACCTCGCAAGGTCTGAGGGCTGCTGGATTGGCCCCGAGCGTACCAGGCCCTCAACACATTGATGGGCAGATGGAAAGGCTGCCGGGGTGCAAAGGGGGGTCATTTACTGGCACTTGTTACCTTCCAAATACAAAGGCTAGACCTGAGTACACGGAGCCGGAGGGGAGACATCCCCGCTCCCAGATTCCCCAGCCTGCTGCAAAGGGGTTGCTTTACCATCTCACTTCCCAAGAACAGGGGCAGGGTAGACAGAAGAGCCAGGCCAAAACGGAGAACACGTTTCCCCTCGGGCGTGTGCCAGTCGCCCCTCCTAAACGGGAAGGGGAACCCCTTTCAGGGTGCTCGGAAGACACTGCTTTAACCAGCTCGCAATCAGCCATTAGAGGAGAGAGCGGCACACGCGCCGTCAGCACGGGCTGATGGTCACTGGTACACGACGGAATTTTATAAACCTGGTAGTTCGTGTGCCTTGTCAGCCGCTGGCTGCAAATGAGGATAATTTTCCCAAAAGGAGCATTCAGTTGCATTCTCATTTTCCCTTTTGGCTCTTTCAAATATAAACAAGTACGATAATGTTTAACGCTGGGGAAATATACAGTAAGTTACAGGCTGTGCTGCGGCCCGAGAGCCGGAGCCGGTTAAAGGGACAGGACTCCCTGCCCGAGCCTCTGCCCTCTGGCCCGAGCTTTTATGAAGCCTATTTTCCTAATAAAACATGTTCCTTGCATTATTGCAGCTGAGCCCACTAGTGAGGCTGCGGTTTAAAGGGCATCAGCACATCCTTCCAAGCTCTTGTTTTTCAGAGACCTTATCGTTTGATGCTCTAAATTTACACTGGCTGGAATTCTGATATCCCTTGTTCTCCGGAGAGCCAGGATTTTGATTCAGTTACATAAAGTGAATCATTTTTCTTCTCTTAAAAAAATAAGCATTTTAATGATCTCACTGAATAATATAATTTCAGAGCTGGACTGTTGTTCCAGCCACTGCCTTCATTTAACAGATAAAAAAAGCTGAGGCCCAAGGAGGGCACAAAATCTGCCTCAAATCATACAGTCAGGGCATGGTACCACCGGATGACAACCCAAGGCCCTCCATCTCCAGCCTGGTGACTTCCCGCGACAGCACAGTTAACAAAAACATCAAAAGGCAGACAGCAAAATTGTCTTACGTCTTCGATCTTGTGAAAGAGGTTTAGCTAAGGGCTAAACTGTCTTCTCTCGTCCCCACATGGCACCAAACACAAGTAAGAGCCCAGGAATACAGTTTTGGGGCTGTGTCAAAGCAAAACAGAAACGCAACGCCTGGGTCCTACCTGCAAATGACACCTGTACTTTTTCGACATGACCAGAGTGACAAGGGTAGAGTGACCTCATCTCATTCTAATATTCAACCTCCAAAGAAATCCAAAGGCCTCTCGCAGATTGGTGCCTACGCTTTCCTGGTGTCCTCGTCCTCTGAGTGTCCCCAACTTAGGATTCCACAGACCCGGCTCAGGATTCTACAGGTCACTCAGGTGACTCATCTGGGACTTTTGGAGACTGGGGGGTGGGGTCCATCTCTTCAGCCCCAGGAGCTGAAAGGCCCTTGCCTTTAGGGAAGAGGTGCTGCCCCAGGACCCAAGACAGCCAGGTGCCTACCCGCCCCGCTGACAGACACACTGGAGAGCTCAGACGAGACCTTGCAGAATCCAAAAGGTTAAACGGAATAATAAAGGGAACTGCCAATTGTAAGTGAATTATATTTGGCTCTGAAAGCTGAGGCACAGGCTATATTATAAAAGGCATCTCTTCGCGTTGTTTACCATCACCCTGACTAATGCAGACCTTTTTTTTTTTGTTTTAAATAATCTCATGCAAATTAGACACACACACTTCCTTCCAGTTGATTGCTATCTGCAAGGAATAATCTAACCGCAGAGGGACTGAGCAAGGGCTGAGCAGAGATGGGAGCAAAGGGTGTCGCCGTCCTGTGGCAGGCAAAACTCCTCTCTCCCCTACCTGTCTTCCTTCAGCTGCTGCCTTTGGGAGAATGAGCCAGTTTTAATAAAGCCTAAATTCTTCTTTCAGTTGGGGTGTCAACTGCAGTATCTGACATCACCAGCACTGTGCATTTCGAGGCTGTTTGAGTCAACTCGCCGCTGCCGCTTGATGGTTTCAAGGGCCATCAGCCCCCTCCCCCTCACCTCCCGCCGTGACACTGACAATTAAAATATATTACTGGTAAAGAGCAAAACTCAAAGTCCTGCTCACTTACTCCGCCCACTCACTAGCTTTAGTCAAGAGGAGAAGGGACAGGGGACTTGGTGAGCAGGAGGAGCCGGATGCCTGGCTCTGAGAGGCAGCGTGTCATTTCGCCTTTAAGGCCACGGCTGCCTGATTTGCAAAACTGAGAGCTCTCAATTCAGACCCAAGTGTGCAAATGAAGCCCTAGCCCTGGAATCAGCATGGACCTTCTGGCCTCTCATTCAGGGCACTGTGTGCCCTCCAAACCCGACTCCCCTTATAGGCAGTCAGACTCCCTTACAGGGAGGCAGCCATCGCCGCCTGCAGAAGTCCCCAGAGACTTCTTTCCAACACTTTCTCCAGGGTAGGGGTCTTGAAAAGAGCCGACAAGTGAGCTACATTCTGTTGACCACTGAACAGAATGGCCTCAGGGCTGCCACACCCATTTATTTTTATCCCTTAGAAGATACACAGATTTGTTTTCTTTTTCTAAAGGCTTCCGTTAAAATGCAAACAAACCCAAACCCTTGGACTTTTGTGAGCTGCAGCCTCTGGGGTGTGAGAAGGGTGCCGCAGGGCCCTTTGCCACAGGTCAGACAAAACCTGGCGTGGGGAAGGGCCAACTTTTCCCTGCGGGACCGGCTGGGCCGGGGCTTCTCAGAACAAGTAACCCCAACGCCGTCCCCAGGGACCGCCCAGCACTGCCATAGGCCTGGCTCTGTGCAGGTGAAGCAGAGAGCGGTGTTTGCCTCTTTCAGGGCAAACCAGCACCAGGACGGCAGGCTTAGGAATAGTCTGGAAATGAGCAAGGTAATGAACGCCCGACAGCACCTTCCAGGTTTATAATGAAAACGTGCAGCCGGACAGGGACTAAGGACCAGGGCCGGAGGGCTGGTGGCAAAGGGCGGCGGTTCCGGGCTGGCCACCCTGGCCATCTTCCTCCCCACCAGAGACTCACGGAGACTGAGCAGGGTCACCTCTCTCAGAACCCAACCGGCTATCTACCCGTGCACACTCTGGAAGGAGATGAGGCAGAGGAGACAGCTGGCTAAAAATATTCCCCAAATTAAAAGAAAAACCAACTCTCTCCTAGGAAAGGTTAGGGGAGGGGAAAGGGAAAAAAGTATTTTTTTATTTTATTTTATTAACATTTTGTTGGAACAGTAGAGTACAATAAGGACTCTCAGCGCCTCTAAAAGTCGTTGGATGACCTGTAGACCCCTATTTCCCAGTGCCTTG